ATATAGGCTCTGCTTAACAGATCAGTTGTGCCCAAATCGCAGAGGAAAAAGAAGAAGCGAGCAGAGAAGGCAATTGCAAACTCCCTTGAGAAGGATGTTAAAATTACAGATGAAAATCCTTCAGCTGAGTCTGTAAAAGTACAGGAATGAAAAGGTGTGAAAATTGTAATTTCAAACACAGCATTGCATCTACATTAAACTTCCATTGCATACCAGTTTCTGCCCCCTTTTTATTTAGGCAACACCAAAGAGTCAGGTCTATGCTTTCATTTTTGTAACCAAAAATATTTTTTTTTTTTTTTTTTTTTTTTTTTTTAATTCTCTTGATCCCATTTTACATTTTTTTAGCTTGATTCATGGATGATGTGTAAATTATGAGAAAAAAGAATTCATGTAAGAAAACATAATATGCACATTTGTATATAAAGTCAAATTTTTAATTCATTTTAATGTGCATTTAAAAACAAACTTTTTGTTCTTGTTTTTGTATGCAGGGGGTTTTAATGAAGGGTGTAGTTTTCTCTTGCCAAAAACAATAATGAACCTTTATGAGGCATGGAATCAGTGAAGTTATTAAGAGCAATTTGCCGTTCCTGTAGTAGAGTGATTTCCAGTTGCGGAAATACGTGGTCTGATCACAAAGTTCTAGGACTGAATTTTTATTTTTATGAATGTAATAAATTTATATAATCTTCAGTCCTTGTCACCTTCAAAATTCCATCTTTCTGCATTGATACAGCATTAGTAGTTATGTGACTGCATATTAACCCATGAAATGTCCTCCCTTCTCCCCATATTTTGGTTATGTGCTCCACAGTTTTCATCTGCTATCTTTAAGTTCTCTGATTTTCTTGGACAATAGCAGTGACTTCCTCTTGTTTTAACATTATCTATTGATGCTGATGGCCATCATTCTTCATTAAAATGTTTATGTCACTCAAAAATTTTCAAACATCAGATAAATTTATTTCCCAAAGCTTATTAATCAGGTTTGGTTTCACACTAGGGCTATCTGCCTAAGGGGAGGGATGCCTTCGTGGAGGGACTTTCTTAGGGAAACTGGCTCGTATACACGTTACACATGGGAAAAACCACGAAAACGCCCATGCAGCCAGCCCGTTCGCGGGATTCGAACCTCGGACCGAACTACCAGTGTTCAGCGACTTTACTGCTCGGCTGCTGGTGGGCCTTGCTTGATTAATCAGGTCTTGAGTTTCTTTTCTAGTTTTGTTCATTTCTGCATGAAATTTAATGTAAATCCATTGTTCTTTCAAATAATCAATTTTCTTTCTTCGCAAAAATCATGAAAGAAAAATGTCTTATACAAAAATCATTGTAGTAGTATAGTGCTGCCAATATCAGTACGTAATTCTTTAAATATGTTTAGAAATGTGAAAATAATACATTAATATAAAAACTAATTTGAATTTCAAATGCAGTAAGAAAGAAAATCAGCACTGGAATTTTCTATTACACCTTTTATTTTTGAAGGGTGATAAGCAACTCATGTTCGTGGAATGTTCCAAACATGTTCAACAGACAGTAAGGTTCATAGCTGGGGGAACGTGCTGGCTAATCTGTTTGAAGGATTTTTTCATTAAAACTGAACTTGTCTACTATCTGATTTTGCATGGCATTTTCATCGACAGCACTGGCGAACCTACAAGTGTGACTCACAAGAAATTAAAATTTAATAAAATTGTTTGAGTATCAGAAAAATCATACATTTCTGCTAAAATCGTGTCACCTATTAGTGCTATTAGCTATAAAATAGCACACTATAAAATATGCTAAAATACAGTAGCCAAGAGAGATAGTCAACAGAAAGGCCACATGTCCTTGTCATATATGCTTCTTAGAAAGTAAATAAAATATTCAGATGATCCATTGCTAGCTTACGAATGATTGAAAACTAGTGATGCAGAATATGTCATGTAACATAAATTTATTAAAGAGACTTGTCACTATAGTTTTATTAAAAGCTGGTTACATTATTGTTATAGTGGTCAAGAAAACAAACTGGATATGATTGAACAACATGCGGTTTCAATGGTAACGCGTATGCTTGTTGCCAGCGCACAAGTGATATACAAAGAACGATGGTTCTACATCTGTCTGTTGCAGGCTCGTTTTCTTCTTATAATAGGAAAGCATGGCAGCTTGCATTCCAGTATTACTATAAATTACAGTGACAAAATAGCAATAGTGTGGATTTCAAATCAAGGTTAACTGCACTTAGTTATTGTAATTGTTCCCTGTGTAATAATTAATAATTATATATTATCAATTCATAAAGTAAGTTTGTATATTATCAAATGTTAAATGAAGAAGTCAATTTGACAATTTAACCAAACTTATACGTACTCTAGTTGTCATAGTGGACAGCTGTGTGTGAACAGAAGAGTGAGATGTTCGTTTTTGTTTTTATTTTACCTTCTATTCATGTTTTTATTACATCATTTTTTATTCAAGATTTGCATCATTATATGGATCTTTCAATTGCTTCAACAGAAATATATCAGTGGCCAAAAAATGGAAGTTGAGTGAGAAAAAAGAATGCTTGTACAACGATGAACGGATTGATAAATATGAAGCAATTGAAAAAGAGAAGAACATGATATATGCATTGTTTGCAATGAAATAATTACCACTTGCACATATAATGTGAAAAGGCATTTCAACACAAAACATAAAAGTTTGACTTTATTAACAGATGATGGAAAAAACAATACTTTTCATGAAAATTAAAAGTTCATGAAACACAGTCAAATACTTTGAAAACCTTTGTTGCATTGAAAAATAGTATCACTTCTGCTAGTTATCAATTAGCATACTGTATTGCAAAACATGGAGAATTTTTGAAAATTGTGTTTTTGGAGTGTAGCAATTCTTTGTTTGCAGACTTTAAAAATAAAGATCTAATTATCAATGAATCAAAGAATTACCGGCTTCTTGTAATACGGTAAAGGATCATATTTTAGATTTGGACAAGAATACTTTTCAAGTACAGATATAACTGGTCAAGCACAACTTGCTGTCATTGCTAGCTACAAGTCATGTAATGATATGTGAGAAAAATTAGTACAATTATTAAATTTGACAAAGACAACTAAAGGAACAGACATCATGGAGAAAGTTAAAGGAGAATTTTTAAAAAGAGAATTGATGCATTGAAAATTGTTTCTGTAACTACAGATGGAGCTTCAAACATGGTTGCCTAAAACATTGGTTTTGTTACACAACTTAATATATTCATTGGGTGTCAAGTAATTCAATTTCATTGCCTTATCCATCAAGAAGTGCTCAGTGCGAAAAGGGGGTTATAAGCTTTTTTTCTGATGGTATGTCAGTTGTTACTAAAATTGTAAATTATATAACAGCATGAGCTCTTAACAAGCATCAGTTTTTGGAAAAGTTGTCTGAAATGGAGTCCTGGTATTCGCGGCTATTAATGTATAATAACGTTCGCTGCTTAGCCATGACCAAGTCCTAAATCATTTTGTTGCTTTACTTGAAGAAATAAAACTTTTCCTGCAAAATATGGATGTCACATACCGTGAGTTAACCAATCATCATTAATTACATGAGTTGATATATATATCACACAGCATTTTACTGAATGTAGTAAGAAACTTCAGGGACCTGGATAAATTGCTTCAAGAATTTATGAAAATGTCAAATTGTTTTAATTAAAATTGAATATATATACAAAATGTAGAAAATACAGAGGAATCCAAGAATATTAATTAGGACTTGTCCAAGGACTATTTTGCTGTTATGGCGGAAATAAAAGATGCTTTTTTCCAAAAAACTTTAACCAATTTAGAGAAATGGATTACAGTTTGCAATTTGTAGTGAGTGACTCCTCATAAAACTGAATTTAAAAAATTTAAATTATTTCGTGTGGCTAAATATAGATAATTTAGAAATGGAGCTGATAGAGTTTCAAAATAACTTTTTATGGAAACAAAAATTTGAAGATTTAGCTGTATGTTTGATTCTACTTATTATTGCGAGGCATTATTGTCATCAATAAATTTTATAAAATCACCCATTTGAAATAGACTTGCAAATGACGTCACTGCGGCTTGTATCAGGTTGAGATTGATCAGTTATAAATCTGATATTAACCATTTATCCTCTTCACAACAACAGCAGATTTTGCACTAAAACTATCATGATTATTAATGTGATTGCTCATGTTTTTAATTTAAATTTTATTGTGTTTAAAAATATAATGGAAAAATTAAAGAACTACAGTATTACTGTGGATTTCATTTTTATTGTCCCACAACATGTACATACAAAATAAAAAATTTTGATTTTTAACTCTTTGCAAAAAAAGTTTTGCTATCGCTGATCTATGAGAATGATATTATACTGGACTACTGCAGTATAAAGGACCACAGAAGATCTGAAGGTGTCATCCTCATATTGTTGAATTATTATTCGAAATGGACCTGATGATGTACAGTTCAGTGTGGCTATTAATAATGATATCATCTCAGACCATCACTCCACCTGCTGTAAATCAAACACTCTCATGCACAAGATTATTCTAGATTTCACATTCTGTCCAAACGATAAATCACGTAATTGTCTAATTGCATTGGGACTCACCTTAGAAAACATTGCTCCATTCATTTCAACTCCATTTGAAATGCACTTGTTCCGTACTTTGACTAGTTGAATGGCCCATTATTAAAGAATAAACCAATACTATGGAATTTGATTTGAAATATTTGTGCCAGTAACCCTCAGGTAATGGTATTGCAAAAGAGGGTCAGCTATAGTCATTTTCTTCTTTATTTCATGTATGACTGTCTGGATTTTTCCTAATAGTTCTGCTTTTCTTCAAACTGATTCCACAATCTGAAAATGCTATTTCGATGCTCAAAAGCCATCTGCTACAAAATATTGTATTTCCCTCAGTTCTAAATGATTGATGGCCTTCCAAGTTCCCAGTTCAGCTAGTTTTTTAAACATCATACTTACTATTATGAAGCATTCAGTGCATGCCACTTGTGTCTAGTCATATAAAGAATATTGAAAGTTGCTTTTCTTTCCTTATCAAAATTGCATATTTTTCTCTGCATATTCTAAAATTTGTAAATATGAAAATTTTCCCTTTTTTAATATCTTTAATTTTTTCTACAAGTTTAGTTATGATACTGTTGTTTCATAATGACAGGTAATATTTCTTAACTATTTTGAACAGCTTATGTTCAAACTAAGAGCACTTAAAAATTTTTGCATTAAGGAAGAAGAAGGTATTGTTTTTATTTCATTTTATCTACAAGTTTTGTCGTTGTACAGTTGTTTCATACTGAACTTGTAATATTATCCAATTGTATTGAATAGCTAATGTCCCAACTAAGAGGACATGTAAATTTTTGCATTAAGGAACAAGAAGTCCTTGCTTAAAAACAAGAGAAATTTGATTTTCATTAATTACTAATTGTTAATCACTTAACCCCAATTTTAATGTAAATTCTGATAAAGTTATTTGGAGAAATAGATTTCCTCTAAGTTTAAAATCTAGTCATTTGAGTTCCAAAATGGTTTTCTTATTAGCTTTCGAGATTTAGTCCCTTTCTTAGCTTTGATTTTTCATTTTGGTTTTAGTTTTAATTGATTGACTAAAATTATATTAATTTTTGCTCTATCTGGTCATTCAGATTCTCAGTCACCTACTTCTAAAGTGGACCTAATTTTATAGATGTTGTTTTCATTACAACTAATGAACTACTAATGTAACCAATAAAAATATTGTCTAAAAATAAGTTATACTTTTCTTTAATTATATTTTTCTTTTTACTAAAACTAAATTTACATAAATATTCATTTAAATTAGTTTAAAAAATTCTGATCATTGTTAATATAAAATTAATAAAGTTTTAATTTTTGTACCACCTATGACATGTCTGTTTATACTTATCACTGATTAGATATTATGTAGCCAGTTAGCTAGGATCCCCCCCTTTTAATTGGAGCCTTTTATTCTTTTACAAAAGCAGCAAATGTCTATTTTTTATCTGTGTTTTTGGAAAATAGAAATCTTTGTTGTGCCAAAATGTAATAAATGTGTGCAGAAATTGAGCTGTGTCAAAATTTCCAAAGTGCTTTGAAATTTCATTGATGGTGTTTGTACAAAATAGTATATACAGTCAAAAGTCGTTAATTCGGACGGACATAATCCGGAATGATCTATAATCCGGACCTCAAAGCTAAAAACTTTCTGCACATGCGCACAGGTGTTTTAGGCGTGCGTGTAAGACCTTGACTGCGCATATGCGTGTGCGCAAGTGCAGAATATGTTTTCGCCTGCGCGTTTAATGTATAACGGACGGCGTAAGCTAAAATGATCTAATTATCTATTTCAGTTAATGTTAATGATTGCGTTGTTCCTTAATCTTCGAATTGGATCCTGCTTATTATTTTTTGCAGACTGTAAGAGCAATTTTATAAAAGTAAACTTGAACTTTTGATTATGTCAAATAGAATTTCCAATGCTGGAACTTCCAAAGGATCTACAAAACGAAAGTATGTTTCGATGTCCAACAAACAAAAAGTGGAATTACTGCAAAAAATGGATAAAGACATGAAGAATGTGACAGAGAGGTTAGTGAAAACGAAAAAATTTCGATTGACAAGTTAGTCGGTATTCTCGGCACAGCAATTAATGAGACCTTGAACAGCGGAACTTTGTAACTGAACAAGAAATTATGTCTTTTTATAGAATTAAAGAGAAAGTATCACATAAAATGAAGCAACTTAAACAACTTACATTGAGAGAAATGTTTAAATAAATATTAAGCTCTTTTTTTTTTTTTTTTTTTTTTTTTTTGTAAATTTTGATACTCTTTAGATCATAATTGTTTCTTTATTTCATAAATTACGGTTTCATATTTTTAATTTTAGAATTTCTGCATGCCATCTTATGAGATTTAAACTGATGATCTATAATCCGGAAAAATCGATAATCCGGAATCGCCGAAGTCCCGACGAGTCCGGATTAACGACTTTTGACTGTATATGATGGGTAGGTAATTTTCCCCCAAAGAATGTAGACAATTTACTTTTTTTTTTCCTTTTGTTTCAGAAGTTAGAATGAAAAAGGAGGGAGATTGTGCTTGAGCTTGTTTCATAGTTCCTGGATATAAAAGCGGCACCAACTTTCATGGGATACAAGCTATTTGTGTACAGAAACAAAAGTTCATATTTCCATAAATAATACTCTTCACATACAGTTAAGATTTAGCTGAATGTATGATTCATTGATGGTATTTTTGTATTGTTTTTATGAATTTAATATAAAACTTGTATCATAAAACTTATATGACAATTGTTATAAAAATGCATTTTTTCCTTAAATTTGAATGGTGACAAATATTTATAAAATATTGACTCATGTTTTATCTAAGGGGAGAAAATGATTGCATTGGTGTCAGCTTTACCTAGGAGCAGTGTTGAATGTAATAAAACACCTTTTTCCACTTACCTGAGTCACTTTCTTTGTGTGATTAATCTAATTGGCAGTTTATATTTCTGGAATTATTCCTTCCATACTGCAGACAGTTTTCAGTATACAGACAAACCCCATTATAATGAACTTCAGAGGACTGAGAGTTTAATTCTTTGTATCTGATCTGATAAGAAAAACTAATTCTCTTGCAAATAATAATAATAATAATAAATTTGCTATTACTCTTCTCATAAAAATGATTATCTTTGTTGTATCTGCCAAAAGAAATGAATAAAAAACTCTTGACTCTTAAAAATAATATTTATTATTACAAGAAATTATTTGTTTTTGTTCATGTTTTATACCCTTTCCTCGAAATATATAATCTTCCACTAAATTACATGACTATAATTATGAGTAATTATTCTATTCTTAAAAATAGAAAAACACTGAAAGTAAATAAAATGCTTTGAGACATCTTACTTTAAGACTAGAAATAATCTGCAATTTTCTTCTGTTATGGTGCAGGTTGTGGCGAAATTTAAGTGCTTGTTTTCTGTGTGTCGGGTTTGTTTAATATTTTCATTTAATTTTTTTTTTCACATTATCTTCATCATGTGATCCATATTACATTCTGAAAATATTAAAATGCCATATTTTTTCCTAGCTACTATAGCATTAAACTATTCCTCCTTTTCATCTTTTTTTTCTACAACACTTTTTCTACATCGACATGCTGAAATGAATTTAGGATGTTTGATTCTATAATGACTTGCCAAGATTTTTCTAGCAAGAAATATAATGGTATAATCTAGTTTGTCATGTCTGCAAAAAATTGCTTATCATGAGCTGCTTTCTGTAATAACACTTCAAGCTCATTATCCCTCTATGTTGTATAAATAGCATTATCAAAGTTACATTTGGGAGCAAGAAAACAATCTTAGTCTATTATAAAGTTTTGACATCTAATTGTGGAGCATAGTTGGGATCTTTCATTATTGCTTTCATCTCATTTTCTAGTTCTTAAAATAGTTCTGATGTCACCTATGCTTTTTAATTACAATTATAGGAAACAGGAAGATTTTTTAAGCACTGTGGCTTTTGAGATTTTTTTAGTGGCCATAATCTTAGGCCTAATCAGTGTCACACACGAGACCTGTCATCTATTCTTTTCGACAGTTTTGCACCAGTGCATCTGTAGTCTTTAAATTTTAACATCTTGTTTGGTGTCAACTTGTGGAACAGCCCAATTTTTTCAACACTGAAAATGTGTTTTTCTTTGCAGTGGTGGAAGACATCATCCCAATTTTGACATCAAATTTTAAAACATTTCCATATTCTCCACCATTTTTTCTGATGAAATGTTCTGTTTCTTCTATCTATTCAACTAACCATTTGAGTGCCAAAGTGTTTGGTTAATGCACTGTCTTTAGCCTGAAGCATTGATTCAGGATATTGCAAAACAAATATGCAAAATTTTGTTGCCTCACTGCAGGACAGTGTGGTCTTTTAAGATATGCTTAATGCGTGTCCTGGTTTTTTAAAATTGGGTGTTATGCATGCTTCCCATTGTTTTTGTTAAGAGCAGAGAAACAAAAAAAAATATTTTTCAATAGTCTAATAGCCTAAGCATGGATAATATTATGTTTAATAATTTTCATTTAAAACTTATTATAAAATTTAAAAATTAGACAATTATAAAATGTACAAGAAAGTTTTCATTTAAAGATACTTGTAAGATTTGTTGTATCTGATTTTCATACTATGGGAGGTTCACTATAATCATATAAAATAAAATAAAATTGTATGAAAACACAGAGCATTCAGTTTTTCCATTCTAGGGTTCATTATAAAACAAGTTTGCTGTCTTAAGATGTATTCTGTTAATAGGCAACTTAAGACTAAAATCAATTAATACATAAATTTGGCTTAAATCAGTACTTTTTTTTTTCGACCCCAGGTATTAAATATAAAATAAAGATATAAAATTAAATATCTTCCCTTAAATAATTTACTTTTTTGGTAAACAATATACACAAAAAGAGTTTAAGGATTTATTCCAAGCAAACAAAAATTAATGAAAGAAAATTCTAATAAGTCAGATGTGCTTGTTTTCTGCTGCATGACAAATTAAATGATAGTGCAATATTTGGCTCTAGTGGACATAAAGCTGAAAACTTAGTTTTATGTAAATATGGTGCTGAATGCAAGAACATTTTATACCATTTCAGAAATAGTGAGAAATCTGGTTCTAAGTCTAATCCAGAATTCATTAAGGATTTTTGTGAAAACTCAAGTTTTAACTGCTAGATAGCTTCACAAATTACTTTTGCAACACAGCATATAACAGGTAATTAATCTCATTTTATTAGTTAATGTAATGTCTTTAGAAGTCTAATCTCATCAATGTTAATGTAATTTCTTTAAATTCACGTATCGAATTGAATTTTTGCGACCCCATAGTTTAAGAAACTCTGGCTTGAATAATTAAATGTGTTAATCATTTTCATGAAATTGATTAACCACTTAACAGTCTCTTTTTTCTGACATATTGTGTCAAAAAATAAGCATATTTTTCAAAAACAATTTTATTTTAAAATCGATTATAGAAACTCAAATCAAGAGTCAAAACTATTATAAGTGTTGAATTTATGAAGTTATGATAATTTTTATTTACAACGAAAAATTATATTTTTACTTAAAGTTGGCTTTTTTCCGTTGAAATAAGCGATCTAGGAAACACTTTACAGAAATGGGATATAGAAAAGAGAATTTATTATTATACTTACATCTAATAATTTTAAAATTCAGCTTTTGTATGAAAAATTTTAAAACACGGTGACAAGCGTAGTCCAACTCGCAGTCGGGACAAAAATATCTAGTTCTTTTCTCACTCTTTTTCCGAAATCGTTTCTTTTAGAGCAGCACACAAAGCACTGCCTCGTTGGTCTAGTTTTTTTGTCGCTGGAGCAATCACTTCTAAAAAAGTGCCTTTCAGTCAATCGTAAGGGATTGGGCAAAATTCCTGGTTGTCCTTTTTTTTACATTTACAGTCCTGTGTCTTTCAATCAGGCGATCAATTATATCAAATCTGAAATTCAAATGCAAGTATTTTACCTCCATGCTTCTGGTATAAAACGAATGCATTCCACAGCGATACATCTAAAAGGTGGAAGAATATTTTTTTGTAATATTTCTTTCCTCTCTTCTTTGTGACTGGATAATTGGTGAGATGCTGATCCATTCTATCAACACCTCCCATGGTATTAATTATTATATTCCTTCACTACCTTTGGTTTCCTTCTGACTTCATCCTTGTAAGATGGAACTTCAATCATTATAGGGTTGTGTATTGTGGATAATAGAGATACAGCTTTCTTATCCATCCATTTCATTAGACAGACTTTCCCTCTTTGGTACGCACATATTTCTCCTAATTTTAATTTTTTCTTCTCTAATTCTTTTGGGACGTCCTTTCTGGTAAGTTTGAGGGTTCCATATATATCTGTTTGATGGTTGATAAGGATATCTGCAAATTCTGGTGATGTGTAATAATTGTCTGTCATTAGGCAGTATCCTTTTTTCAATAGGGCTGCATAAGTGTCATCACTACTTGAGAGGACTTGCACAAATGCTGGTAATTATCATCAAAAAGTGTATCTTTCCCAGTGTATATAATAAGTTGATACACATAACCTGACTTCGATTCGCATAAAATAAAACTTTTTATGCCGAATCGTGATCTCTTTAGAGGTATATACTGTTTCCAGTGTAATCCTCCCTTGTAGAGCATCAAACTCTCATCGATTGTAACATCTCTTTCAGGTATGAGTTTCTCGGTAACGAGTATTCAAATGCTTGATGATCAGCCACAGTTTCTGCAGTTTTGGACAGTCGTGTTTTAGCATCAAATTCGGTATCATCAGAAAAATGTAAATACCGGTGAATAAGATAAAAGCGTTGGTAAGACATAATTTTGGAAAAAAATGGAGTTGATGTTGAATGTCTCTTACTCCAGTATTGCTCAACTTCAGGCTTTTTCACAATTCCTTGTAAAATATCCAAAGCAAGAAACACTTGAATTTCGCGCTTTGTTGTTGGTTCCCATTTTTTTTTTTTTGCTCCGCTTTTCCTTTGTAGATTACTACTCCGAATGGTCCGATCTGCATATTTATTGGTTTCAGAAACTATAATTTCAAGAAGATTATCATCAAAGAAAATATCAAGAAATTGTAGAGTTCCATTACTTAGATCAATATTTACATGAACAGCTGGATTTGCTGTGAATGGAAATCGAGGTAGAGGTAAAGGAAGATTTGTTATATTAGTTCACAAAAGTTTCGAACTTGAGTTAGGTCATCCGAACTTTCCGTTTCCTCATCACTTGAAAAGTCCGAAAACGAACTTTCATTACTTCCAGAATCATTTATAGAAATTTCAGATTCACTGTCTGATCCACTGTAAGAGTTATCATCTGTTATGAGATGTTCAAAATCACTCATTCTTCTACTTTTCAGCTTCAAAAGAAATAGAATTTGCAGCGAGCTGTATAGTAAGCAGATTGAGTCAAAACGAAATGGCAACTTTCCCGCGTAAAAGATAAACTAGAAACCGGATTTGCAATCAGATCTTTCCTGGACTACTAGAGCCATCTGTTGGAAGCATTGCAAACTAATCAAGCATAAAATTCGGGCAAATCATTGCAAGAGAGGAAAAAAATCAGTCGCACGAGCGGCATTCGGGCAAAACAGGGATGGCCCCTTTTCAAGTACCCGAACTGGGAAGTGGTTAATGCATCATGAAATTAGCTTTTTAATCTTGTTATCTCTTCATGCTACTTGTTATATAGTTCTATAGGAAACACTAAATGCATCAAATAGGTTATCAAGTACATAAGAAAATAGCTGATTCATATTATATTGATTGATATTTTGATTACAGACTGAATTTTAACCTACTCGGCCATAATGCAGAAAAATATTTTCATATAATCATGGTGACTTCAACAAATATCAGAAACTATTCTAATTTTAGT